AGTTAACTCTTGGCCAAAGGTCGCTTACAAACAGACGCAGACACACACACAGATATGCATACACATATATAGGCTAATATGTTAATAGGCATTTTGTTTTATTTTACGCTTGATTAGCCTGTTGCTGCGTCTCCATTTTTACCGACCTTCACGTGTATCCAACCGGTGCGTCGAAGTGCCGCTAGACGACTAAATACCTTGATGAAAACCAACCCAGCCAGAAGCGTTGTCGAGCCCACTTGCGTGTGTGTGCGTGAGTCTCTCGAGCTGAATTGATTTGATAAGACTGCGATCGATCAGGGCGGTTGAATGAACGCATTCTATAGATAAAACATCCACATATACCTATATATACGTACATGTATGTATGAATAGCGCGGTTAAATGTTTTCATTTTAATGGATTTGCATTTTTGCAATGCATGCGCAATCATTAGCAACCATGGCTCCGGCAACTAGTACAATAAACTGTGACGTCATGCCTCAATTGTCTGCAAGAGAGAAGTGCTTTGAGCTTTGTACCCGCCACCCGCGCACTGAAATATTATTCTAGAGCTGGGAGTGTTCTGGTTGTTTGCGCTCGTGACACGAACACGACGGAGCAGGATGTTCTTGAGGAAAATCAACAAGTTGCATGAGCTCTGAAAAGAATCTAAGAATGAAGTGGGGAAGTAAAGTAAATATTAGAAAAATGCGCAATTGAAATGGGTTAGAACTTTTTAATAACATATATTATTGAAAAAATTAGAAATAATTATTATTTACGTATAAGTTACAAGTTAATTAAATATATTAATTTGCAATTCATTGATAAAATCGAACAAATAATTGCACTTATACATACTATATTTCTCCTACCATTTAATTAGCAATGAACAATTATACTGCCCAGTTGAAAACATGCACATCCTATTATGTTTTAAAATATATTGGTATATGTTTTAGTGGAAGTTGGTATTTGATAATGCCAGGTGTTGAACCCATGTTACATACATATGTAATATTTAATTTCAGTGGCCTTTAAGTATTAACGCCAATGTTTAGTATTGCTGTCAAATTTCTATTGGGTCGCTGGATTCAATTTGTTTATGTGCTCCAGCTGTGATTCTAGTGCTGCCACACTATCGAACAAGTGGCAACGCCGTTCTGCTTGTTTCGCAAAACATCTGGCATTAATTTCGTGAAATGAGCAAATACACAAAAAACGAATTAAATAGAACATTATATTTTCCCATAACGGTTGCCCAATTAAGCGGCGATTATTAATTAAGCAGAAGAGGCCAAAAAATGCTACCATCGACGGGCCTTTTCAAGAGCTTCGCTTGTCCATACTACAACAGCGCCGGCAACGGCAGCGGCAATGATGAAAACGGCGAAGCGTCCTTCAACTGCAAACGTCCTTTCTGCCATTTCAAGCACAATCGCAAGGGTGAGTGTGTGTGTGTGTTTCAAGTTATGCAAACACCTAACGCGCTTGGTTCGCAGATGATGTGGAAGCGACACTGCCTGCGGAATCGGTGCCGGAGTACAAGCCAGCGCCGGTGCCCAAATTGCTATCCCTGCCACTGCCCGAGATGACGATGTGTCCGCCCAAAAAGAAGCCCAATCTGGAATACCATCCGGAGAAGCCGGCCCTGAATGCTTCGCCGGCGAAAAAACGTTTTGACGAGGCCGCGAGTGCACCCAAATATGTGCCTTCCGCGGTAGCAAATGGAGCCGAAGACGAGTGGGTAGAATCTGAAAAAGAGGAGGAGCCAGAAGAACAGCAACAGCAAGAACAACAGGAAGAACAAGTGAAGGCCGAATTGGAGACGGAATTGGACGAGTTGGCTAAAACAACCATTGATATTAAGCCCGAACCACAGGAAGCCAGTGAGGAGACCCCAAAGAATGACAACGAAAAGAAGACTTCATCGTCTTCGTCCAGTGCTCGCAGAGAAAGCCGCAAACATGAACACAAATCTAGAGACAGTAAAGAGCGTCGCAGCTCGTCCCAGAAAGAAAAAGAGCGATCATCTGGCGAGCACCGTAGTTCCAGTTCCAGCTCCAAACACAAATCGTCATCTTCATCATCGTCTTCGCATAGAAAATCATCGAGCAGCGATAAGCATCGCAGTGAGAAGAAGTCTAGCAGCAAGGATAGAAACAGTTCATCCAAGACAGCAACAGCATCCACAACATCTGCATCATCATCGTCTAAGAGTCGCCATCACAGTAGTTCTAGCTCCAAATCCACATCACGTAGCTCGAGCAGCTCGAAATCCAAATCCTCCAGCTCCAACTCTAACTCTCACTCCACTTCCAACTCCAACTCCAGATCCAGCTCTAGCAAAAGTACGACCAAAGCCGAAATAGACACCTCAACTTCTATCGAACTGCCAGCCAAGCCGGATGATGACATTGCACTGGATTACGAAATGAGTGTGGATGTTTCCGAGGCGGAGATCGTGCGCCAGTGTGAAATGATATTCGATGAGCTGGAGCAGGCGTTTGCCCAAAAGCCTGAAGAGACGAGCACGGAGAATGTGCGCAAGCGCAAAGCGCCCTCGCCGGACATTGAGGCCTACACCGAGGCAGCTACAGCGGCGCTGCAGAAGCGTCGGGTTGCCCATGAGAATGCGGACAAGTGCAAGCCGCAAGCACCGGTGGCAGTCCACAAGCCGAATCATATACGCAACGCGATGCAGGCGATCTTCGACAGACGGGCCGAGCTGCGACGCCAGGAGAAACTGCGCGCCGAAGCAGATGCCGAGCTGTTGCGGCAGGCCCAGGAGCGGGTGCGCATAGCCCAGGAGGAGCTGCGCGAAGCGCGTGCCAAGACCCTAACACCGCTCATCTCACGCAGCAGCCTGACACCACCAACACGCATAGGTGACCTGAGACTTCTCTCTACTTACCTCTGCTCTATGAGCTTAATCTAATATTACCCCATCTTGCAGCTCGCACCATAACGCCCGTGGCCAATGTGATAGCCATCGCGCGCGCCAAGAAGAAGATCGAGGAGTTGCAGGCGGAAAAGAAGCCCGCCTTCACAGCTGCCCAGACGTTCAAAGGCGGTACCCGCTTGGCTCACAAGCCGACAGCGGCATTGGACAAGGTGGCGCCTGCAACGGATGTGGCTGCTGCCAAGCCGCCGGTGCTGGAGCCGCAGAGCTCGAAGATATCGTATAACATACGCATGCAGTATTATGAGATGATGGTGAAGCAATGCACCGCTATCTACCCACAGCTGACTGACGCCTGGGAGCGAGCGCAGGTCGAGGAGCTGGCTGTGTTCAAGAAGTGCAGCACGCCGTCAATCTATAAGAACAGCTGCATGCTGGCCATCAACAAGCTGCGCAAGGAGGCCGTCGAGGCGGGCAACCAGCCCAGTGTGGCCAACAAGACTGTCTCGCACGAGATGATGCTGGGCGGCAAGCGGGCGCTCACCACATCTTGGAGCGTGGAAAAGAAGGAGTGCGTATGCAGGGAAAACTCTCTTCGACTTTTCACTAATATTTGACTCTGTCTTTTAGCAAATCGTCGTCGGAGCCCTTTGATACACTCAGTGCAGAGAAGGCATACGAAATGGTCTACGATCTGCGTCTGACCGACGAGCAGCTGGTGGAGAACGGCTTCCCACGGCCGGGCAAGGTGCGCGGAACGGCTGTTATACGCTCCTGCCGGCCGAATCGACGACCCAACGAGACGGAACGCTACTGCACCCGCTGCGGCAAGGTGTTCAATCTGAGCATCTATGACACCAAGTGCACGGACATGTGCAACTATCATCCAAAGAGCACGGGCTATCGGCGCGGCTTCACAGATAATCAGCATCGGTGCTGCCAGCAGCCAGCGGGCACGCCTGGCTGCAGCTATGCCAACTACCATGTCAGCGACTACTACGATCCGGATAAGCTGACCTGCTTCATAAAGACCATTGAGCGCTCGGATGACTATGTGCCCACCAAAAAGGACATTTATGCGCTCGACTGCGAAATGTGCTATACGACGCACGGCATCGAGCTGACCCGAGTGACCGTCGTGGACATCAATGGACGCAGCGTCTACGATGCTCTGGTCAAGCCGGACAACCAAATTGTGGACTATAATACTGTGTACGTATAAGACTGTGAGCTGTATTTGATTGACTGATTGATTGATTCGATTTGGCTTAGCTATTCGGGCATCACGGAGGACATGCTCTCAAAGGAGACACGCACCCTGCGTGATGTTCAGGCGGTGCTTATGTCCATGTTTCATGCCAAGACGGTGCTGGTGGGCCACAGCCTGGAGAGCGACATGAAGGCCTTGAAACTGATACACGATGTAATCGTGGATACATCGGTGTTATTCCCCCACAAGATGGGGCTGCCCAAGAAGCGAGCACTCAAGACGCTGTGCATTGAAAACCTAAAGCGCATTATACAAGAAAATGGTAAGCGGCTGCCCGACTCTATATCTATATCTATATCTATATCTATATCTATATCTATATCTATATCTATATCTATATCTATATCTATATCTATATCTATATCTATATCTATATCTATATCTATATCTATATCTATATCTATATCTATATCTATATCTATATCTATATCTATATCTATATCTATATCTATATCTATATCTATATCTATATCTATATCTATATCTATATCTATATCTATATCTATATCTATATCTATATCTATATCTATATCTATATCTATATCTATATCTATATCCATATCATTGTCATTATCTACGTTCGACTTGCAGAGGCTGGCCACGACAGCGCTGAGGATGCGGAGGTCTGTATACAGCTCATCAAATACTATTTGCGCAACAAGATTAGTTGAGCTGTCCAAGCGGATCGCATTATTTAATTAATGTTTGGGATTGGATTAAACATGTCATCGATGCGGGCACATTACATACGATTCGCAATATGTAACTCAACTTCACAGACGAATCCCACACTTGAAATCAAAACGTATCCCATAAGTGAGCCTTAAGATCGAAAACAAATCAATATATATATATAATGGATATTTATATATAAAATATTAAATATAAACAATAAGACATTATTTTAAATAGTTTGCATTCTCTGGCATCTCGCACAACATCCAGATGCGCTCGAATTCCTGCTCCAGTCGCTTGGCTACCCTGGGCGAACTGGTGACGAGGCAATCTTCACAGTTTCTGGGCAGCATCACCCAGTTCATGGAGCCAGTTATGCAAACGGTCAAGGCCTTTGGCATCTGTTTTCGCGTGGCAATGTATCCATCGATGATGCAGAACTTGTGATGCATCGTCATCTCACGCATTTGGTTTCGTATTACAGATAGTCTGCGCAGCAATACGTAATTGTCGAAACACTCTTGTAGCAACTCATAGTTTTTGAAGCAGACCACGCGCACTCTCACTCCACGCTCACTGGCACGACGCAGTGCATCGGCAATGTCACAGGAGTCCATCAGATAGATCGCCACGTCGATTGAATACTGCGCCTGGTCTATGGGGTCAATGATGTATTTCAGTTGCCTCCTTAAGCAACTGGCAGCGTCACATTTCGCATCGGGCGCATCGGTTTTATGCAGCAAAGAACGATTTCGGAAATACTGAAAGGAAACGAACGCAGTCTGATTTACGCGCTTTCCGATGCGATCCTTCGTCCACTCCCGCTTCAGTTTGGCATAGTGCGCTCTCCAATTATTTGGTTTATTAAAGCAAAGCTTTATAAATTTTATTAAATAGTACAACATTTTCGACTTTTCGTTGTTTGCAGTTGACAAGTGCAATGGCAGATTTTCAAAAGCGATTGAAGGGCTGCCACCTTGTCATAAATGCGGTATTGCCAGCCTGGAACGTAACGGCTTTGCTAGCTGCAAATATTGGCGTTGCCAGTTTATGCTATTTAACATACTACCTGAATCTTTTGTTTATATGTACATTAAATTAATTGGAAATATTTTAATTATTTTATAACAAATTCCGAATTCCATTGGCTTCCAGCTCTATATTGTTATCAACAGCATTCGAACGTAGTTTTTAGACGACCAAGTTTTCTCGCAAATAACAAAGGAAACAGAAAAAAAAAAAAAAACGAAAACTTCAGCTTTCTAGGTGCCACAAAAAAACTTCGTAAATTGCAAATTTTATAACTTTTCTTTTTGTAATTTGTAATATGTATCGCATAGACTTGTTGCTGTAAAGAGTAGAGTAGGTGTAGCTGTCGATGCTCGTATCACATGGAACCAGAAATTTAAAAATGTTTATATGGAAACTATATATTCCTGATTGGTATTAAAAATCTATATACTTACAATTTGAATATGTTTGCAGTTTCATACTACAGCTACTACAGAGTCTAGAAACAATAAATATATGTATGTGTGTTCCTTAGAAAACTTGTTCGTATATTTCATTGAGCCAAAGCATAAGAAAGGATATACAATATTCGGTATGACATAGCGTTTTTGTTCTTTCATGTTTGAATGTAATTTAAATCAGATTTCATGTTGTACTCGATATATTTTTCAATTATACGCGCAACGGCTGTTGGCAACAGATGCTCACCAATGTTGTTGTTGTTGTTGTTGTTGTTGTAATTGTTTAACAAGTATTTGCATGATGTGGTCTTTCAGTTTTCATAAAAGTTGCTGCGTATCGAACTTTTACGCCGTGAAATTCTATTACTCAAAAACAAGAGAAGAAGAGAGGAAAAATCGAGTAAAAGTTTTTTCCCGTACTTTTATTGGCATTGGCTCAGTAATTCGTAGTAATTGTTTCCGCCGGACTTTGATTGGTCGTTCTTTTGGCTAGCAAATGGATAAATAGATGTGACTCAAAGTAGTTGGAGAAAGAGGAAGAGCCAGGAGTGGGTTAGCTGGGAGCAGGACTCCTTCACACATAAACCTAACGAAATGTAAATAATATTAGTGGTACTTGGCAATGACAATGTGCATATGTGGCCCAAAAAGCCGAAAGACCGCACACACTGCAAACAAAACACACGCAAGTGACGCCTCGAGGGCTCGCAGAGGGAACGGGCCTAAAGGGCGCCCGCCGAAGGGCTAGTGCGCAAAACAAACACAAGACCCAAATACAAACAACACAGACACACACACACACACATACACATGTACCTAGACATATATAGATAAATACTAAGAAGCTAGAAAAACAAGTGTGGATGGGAGAGCACAAGTGGGGCTGGGCTGGGGGCTAAGTCAGTGCTGCTTGACTTGTCCCTCTGTCACACATTGGGCGACCTGGCCAGGCGGAAGTATACTTAAGACCGTCGAAATAGAGGCATTAAGATCTTTACAGTTAATCCCTTGAGTAAATGTTGGCTCTACGTAGGTGTGTGTGTGTGTATGTGGTCGCGAGGACATTGTTGTGCCACAACCATAGTGTATACACAGTGAAAAATGTGGTTAGCAATAAAACAGCATTCTGTAGGTGGAACACTTAAATTTAGGCCAACTTTATTGCAAATTGAGTTGCTTAGGCATACTAAATACTACATTTCAATTTAATAGCGATTCGATTACTAGTTTTAAAAAATTAAAAATAAAAACTTTCCAAATTTTCATAGATCTGCCAAAACACTTACACATATATACATATATATATATGGAATCACAGTTAATGTAACTTTTTAAAATATGTTAGTGAGCATTTATGTTAAGTTCCTTACAGATAGTTAACCCCAACCGAATTCGAACCTGGAACTACTCACGTCCCTGTGCTCACTGTTGTGCCCTCTGTTAAGCAAGCATCTTTACCACTGCGCTTTTGACATATGCAAGCCATTACCGATAAGTTTAGAGGATTAGCTGTGTCTTGCATTCGTTTGCCATGGCTCATATTTATTTTAAGAAAATGCATTCTAAATATTATAAACAAATAGTATATGGATTTCCCATCATAGTATATGGATTAAAGATCATCAAACATGCGTTGCAGGCAGTCAGTGCAGACGTCTTGCCAGTGTAAGGCGAATAGATTATTAAGCGTGCCTTGAGTGACGCATGAGGTTGCGAGTTCGAGGCCCAACTAGGTTCCAATTTTTAATTTATTTTTTAAATAGGTCATAAAGCCACTAGAAAAGTATGTTTAGTTTATTAAACAATTTAAACGATAATAACTATGAAAAAAGTCAACTCTCTAATAATTATGAATCTATTACTTAAAATGTTCAAGAAATTATGCTAACTCAAATTTAGTTTAGCACACTTTAAACTGCATCCACATTCACTTCTCACAGTGTATGTTGTCTCGTTGTTATTTAGCTTAAGCACATTCCAAAAAAAGGCTTAAAAGCTTGTACACATATTCATTTTTTGGGGGTCCCGTGAGTTGCTGTTGTTGTGGCCGTTGTCCTGCGACTTGGGCCACGCCTAATGTTTGCTACTGAATATTTCAGTTAACCAGCGACAATGACAACAAAAACAACGACAACAACAACAACAACGAAAATGCCTCTCATGCGTGCAAGTTAAGTGCTTAAAGCATTTAGCCTAACGATTTTGGCTTTTAATTTGCACTTTCAGCTAACAGCGGTGAGCAGAGCCCGGCGAGCTGGGGCCGGGTACAGGAGGCGTGTCACGTATTTATTTAAGCAAATTGCGCAAAAATATTAAAGCAGGCGAAAAACTGAATATAATGCGTGTGTCTGCCAGACCAGCTGCCGAAAGCAGGCGAAAACCTTTTTACAACTTTTCTAGAGCCACAAAGTAAAAAACAAAAAAAAAAAAAAAAAAAAAAACTGTTAAGCAGCAGCCCCGCCCACATATAAATAAGGCCAAAAAGGCAGCAAAAAAGGCGCAAAGAAAACAAGGGCGGAAAGCGCAAAATAAAGTCATCACAAACATATTAGCAGCGCAAAACACCTGAGCAAATAGATTTATATGCACGATAAAGCACAGAGTAATTTCCCTTAGATCCTGTCGCCTGTGCTCCCAGTGCTCCCAGTGCTGCCCACCTCCTGCTCGACGCCAAGTGCAGCACATTTGCCACTCGGCCCGGCGCTCGCCTGTTGCCTAAGCCACAAAATAGCTGGGGCCCAAGATAACATCACTTTATTGTAAGAAAGTTAAAACACAGAAATGCAAGCCAAAGCCAGAGCCAGAGCCAAAGCCAAAGCCAAAGCCAAAGCCAAATAGCCCAAAAAGGTAACTGCGTGTGGCTGTCTCCCTCTGCCTCTATCTCTCCCACTCTCACTCTTCCTCTCTCTCTCTCTCACTATCTGCCACCCCCCACAGTGTGCGTGTGAGCAGGCACTTAAAAAAAATGCCAAATATAAAAATGCCGACACATGCTCCAAGCCAAAAATCATACAGATAAATGTGAGAAATTCTATATACTCTAACTAAAGATATAAAGACTAATATGATTTTAAAAATTACTTCAAAATTAAAAATTACCTATTATTTTCTTCACCATTATTTTATGTTCCTAAATTCCTTTGTTTTATTCATGGACCTTTAAAAGCATATTTCCCATTATTGTCATAAATTGCCAATGAGTTGAAAACCTAACTTTCATTCGAGGTGTTAGCATATATTTGAATTGTTAGCATATGTATGTATCAACTGTTAACATAACATGATAACATGATTAGCAACTGTTAAAATATATGGCCACTGTAAAAATGTACTCAAGCTGTTAAATATTAATTGTGGCTGAAAGCTCTTACCGAACAATATGCAATAGTTAAGCGACTCTAATGCAGTGTATATCTAACAGAGCGTATAAAAGTTTTTCGATGTCATTTTGGCATTGGTTTACGAGCGACTTCCTTTTGTTGGGTGTGAAATTATCAAAATTTACTTGAAGACGCTAGGTAGAGCTGGAGCTCGAATTCGAACTCGAATTCGAAATCCCATGAGAAGCTGCTAACAATAAGGCCAGGCGACCATGGGAGTTGAAGCTGCAACATGCAACTGAACGTGCAGCACGTGCTGCAAACATGTGGCACTAGAGTTAGCTGAGAGAGAGAGAGAGAGATATATATAGATAGATAGAGAGAGAGAGAATGTGAGAGAGGGAGAGCCAAAGTGGTAGGAGGAGAACGCATAAAGTTCTACGAGGCGAGGTCAGCCCAGGCCATTAGCAGCTAAAATGCTTGACAAATAATTAGGAAGGCAAGAAGAAGAAAATAATAAAAATAAAATAAAATAAAAATAGCGTAGCTCGAAGGACACATGAGTGATGGCCACTATCGAAGGATGTGGTCATGTATATATAGAAGGGGATATATCACACAAATTGGCATTGCTCAACATGGAAGTCAAGTGGCTTTTGGCTTTTGGCTTTTTGCTGTCAAAGATTTGTCGCGCACAAGTAGCAGAAAAAGAAGAAGAGGAAGACGAGACAGCGAGGCAGTAGCTGAAAAAAAGTTAATTGCAGTTAATGACGACATTAATCACAAGAAAATGAAGCCCAGCGCCGTTGACAATAAGCGCCAAGCGCAAATGAAGAGCCAGCGACAGCGACAGACAGAGTCAGAGGCGGACAAGGGGGCAGACGGGAAGAGGAGCGAACAGAAGAGAACAGAAGAAGAGGCGTCTATTAACACCGATACCCAGATACACTTTATGCACTACAAAGGCAATGTGGGCAACTAGGAAGTTGGGAGTTGGGTGGGCGTGGCGCAACAAGCGAACAGAACAACAGGATGCGAGTAGGAAAAGCAATTTCACTGCGAGCTTCCTTTAAGACAAATAAGTCAGCCGGATCAAAAGGACCTTTCAGGCGTGGCACAATAGAAATGAATTATAAGCGGGAAAAGCCGGTTGTAGCGCAGCTGGAAAAGGAGGGGATGGGTAGGGGGTGGCAGGGCGCGAACCAACCGGCGCAATGTCAGCGATAATAATGAACAACAACTATGCAGCCATGACGAATGATGCTGCTGTCCTTCTCACACTCCCACTCATTGCCCTCTCTCCCACTCCCACTTCCATTTCTACTCTTTGTCTGTCTCTGGCGCTCTCTGTGCAAGCAGCTAAAAGTACAATAATTGCCGCCAGATGGCGCTGCGTGTCCAGTGCTGTTAGAGACAATAATCGTCAGTTTGTTTATTATGTTTGGCAATCTGCAGATTAAACTCGCTTTTGATTTAGGTGTTACATTTGAATAGAGCTCAATGCTTGATTATATAATGGCTTATATAAAGACTTAACTTACATTTGTGTTATCTGGTTTGTAGGCTATTCATTAAAATAACTGCAAATTAACTTTTGAATTCGATGATAGCTTAAAAAAAATTATAAAAAATTACTATTTAATTATTTTTTGGCAATTTTAATTATTTTAAAAATTGATCCTTAATGTTCAGCTAATCAATTTCCTTATGACAT